AAAAAAAAAAAAAAAAAAAAAAAATCTAAAAAACTTGTCTTGGTAGAAAAGCAATAAGCCGAAACACATTTTGGAATAAGTATTATATACCTATGTCAGTTAATAGCATTTATTCCATGCTGTAAGCCAAGTAAATTATGTTTTACTGAGACCGAACAGACATTCCAGCGAAGTTTGCAAACGCCAATAACATATTTAACAGGAAAAACAACAACAAAACCCCCAAGGAAATAATTTGACATAATGGACATATATAATGTACCAAGCGATGGTTTAGTCATTAGAATCTCTAATCCCTAGGTGACATTCCTGGCAGGTAATGATATCCTCCATAATGTAACTGAGGCTAAAAATGTAAAGTGTCTTGCCCACTTAATTTAGAAAATCATCAAGGTGTCAAGGCTATACCTCCAACCAAAATCTGTCAAAACTCTAAAGTTCCTGGGTTCTTTTAAATAAAATAGGACTCTGTGTAGTGCAGCATCACACAAAACCCCAAATCCCCTCTGCCACTACCTCTTCTCTTGCAAATGTAATATCATAGTCTCTCCTTCATATTCTTAGTAGTTTCCATGGGTGACCCCTTGTTCTCTTTCCTCTTGAGGTTACTGCTTCCACTTTTGGTGTTTGCCTCTGATAGAAAGGCTTCAGTTCTCTACCTCTCTACTTGTTTCCTTAGGGCCATCAAGGAAACCAGCCTGCCCAAAAGCTATATATTAAAGTGAGAAAATCTATGTCTGACATCTTTTAGGTTCCTGCATAGTCACATGCATTCCTCCCCACCAAGAATATAGAGAATAATCCTCTACAATTTTAGGGTTTGTGCATCTAGATGTCCCTCCAAGGCATCATGCACTCATAGGTAAGGCTTTTAGGAAGTGGCTAGATAAATGTGAATTTCAGGGTGTGATGATTAAATTAGTCTACCTATTGGTTTAGCATAGTTTTGGTTGTGGGTAATGGAAGGACCAATCCTGAGTATGGGTGGTGCCACTTCAAAAGACATACCTTGGATGGGACAAAGGGGAAAAGGGGGCTTGCCGCTGCTGCTTTGCTGCCTTCTGCCATGCCAAGTACCATATCTCCTCTGTGATGCCCCTCTGACATTCCATCCTGCCTTGGAACCAGCCAATTATGGAACGAAACCTACAGACTGTGAGCTGAAGTAAACTAGCCCTCATTTAACTTTGGGTATAGGTTATTTTGTCTCAAAAACAAGAAAGTAACCAAGACAGTTTAGCAAATTACCAATAGGTCTTTTTTGTAAATAAAGGTTTATTGGAATGTAGTCACACTCAATTTATTTACATATACTCTATGGCTTTTGTGCTACAAAGGCAGAACAGAGAGGTGACAGAGGACTTAGGGCTCATATAATCTAAAATATTTACTACTTGGTCCTTTATGACGATAGCACTTTCCTTAAATGAACAATGGAGTACAACTATAAACTGGACCTAATGGCATACACCTGTAATCCCAACACTTGGAAGGCTGAGGCAGGAGGACTGCTGTGAATTCAAGGCCCGCCTGGGCTACATAGCAAGACCCTGTCTTTAAAAAAAAGAATACAACTATGAATAAAAACAGCTGAGTCACAATTGACTTAAAACCAGAATGTGGGGCCAGGGATATAGCTCAGTGGCACAGCACCTGCCTGGCAAAAGGTCCTGGGTTTGATTCCCAGTACCAAAAAACAAAACAAAACAAAACACAAAACCAGAATATGCTTCTGAAGTTTCTTTTCTTTCTTCTCCTTCTCTACTACCTCTGGCACAACTCCCCACCTATGCTTTCTCCCTAAACAGGACTGCTCACCCTGTCACAACACTTTTGAGTTGGGAGTTGGAAGAATAAAGAGAATTTATGCAACCCAATTCCTCCTACTACAAATGGGCAAAAGCAACAAAAAGTGATCTGGCAAGCTAAGATAAAGAGTAAGTATGGAAAAAGAAAGGGATGTGACCTTTTGAATATTCAAAATAGATATTCAAAGCAAAAATTACAAAAGCAATGAATGCACAGAATCATAAAATAATGCAAGCCTCAGTACTAGATGCACAGAAAACATAAAACAGCAAGAGCCAAAGCAAACTACCACTGTGATCCTCAGAAAATATACCTACTTCCAGCACAGACCCAGGACCTTATGTCCTGGCTCAATACAAACAAAGTAATAATAACAACAACAACAACAATAGAAGGGGCTGGAGATTTAGCTCAGCGGCACAGCGCCTGCCTGGCAAGCGCAAGGTCATGAGTTCAATTCCCGGTACTGGAAAACAAACAAACAAAAAAACAAAAACAAAAACCAACAATAATAGTAACAAGAAGCAAAAACTCAAAAGAACCCTTCCTAACAACAGCAAGTTTACTTAGCTCAAATCTCCCGCTGAAAACAAATACAAATGTTGTATAATGCATTTTACAAATAACCTGAAAAGAAAACATTAACAGCAAGGCGTGGTGGTGCACACCTGTAATCCAGCACATGGGAGGCTGAGGCAGCAGAATCCGTGACTTCAAGGCCGGACTGTGCTAGGAATTCATTTCAAAGCCAGCCTGAACTACACAGTGAGACCATGTCTCAAAAAAAAGCATTAACAAATAAAGAACTATGTACAGCTCAGCACGGTGGCGCACGCCTGTAATCACAGCACTCAGGAGGCTGAGGCAGGAAGATCGTTGCAAGTTTGAGACCAGCCTGGGCTACAAAGTGAGCTCAAGGCCAGCCTGAACTATACAGTGAGACCCTGTCTCAAAAAAGACCAAAAAAAAAAAGAACTATATGCAAACCTAAAACTAAGGTTAAAAAGCACTAAAACTAATTTTTTGTTCTGAGGGCTTTTGGGCAATCCAATTCCTATGAAGGAGATAAAAGTTTAAAGGAACTAACTAAGGCCCCTAGTAGGGTCTACTCTCAGGGTAATCATGAAGCAGAAGCATACCACCTCCACCTCCAGGAGACCATAGGGAGAGGACCCTTTGGAAAGTGAGCATGAGAAGTGCACAGAACAAATACACAAAAAGCTACTGTCACAGACTGGCCCTCCCATAGATTGGGGGAAGGAGGTTGGTGGAAAGGAAATTTCAATCCTTCAGGCATGTAACAAAAGTAATCTGAATCTTTCAAGAAAGCAAGTTTCATTCTAAGGCCTCACATAGTATAAAAATATTATAACAGCATCAAAGAATCACTGCAAGTTCAGTGCCAGCCTGGGCTATATAGTGAGTTCAAGCCAGCCTTTACTACATAGTGAGATCCTGTCTCCAAAAAATCAAAAAAGGCCGGAGTTGGTGACACACACCTGTAATCCCAGCACTCAGAAGGCTGAGGCGGGAGGATCATCACAAGTTCTAGGCTATCCTGGGCTTCATATTGAGTTCAAGGCCATCCTGAACTACATAGTGAGACTATGTCTCAAAAAACAAACCAAAAAAAAACCATATATGGTACGCTATATGATAAATAATCTGAAACTTAAAGAAATAAGTTTCAGAGTATTTAAGAGTAAAATACTGACTTAAGAGTGAACAAATCGGGGCTGGGGATTTAGCTCAGCGGCACAGTGCCTGCCTAGCAAGCACGAGGTCATGAGTTCGATTCTTAGTATCGGAAAAAAAAAGAAAAAAAGAGTGAACAAATCAAAACGCAAAAAAATAAGTTCATTACAATTGCTTAAAAAATACGAATCTATCTTCTTTGCTAACTCATGCACTTACTCTCTAGAAAAGAAAGCTGAGTGACTGAAGGGTATGACCGGAAGGAACACTTTGACTGAATAACTTCTTTTGTTGTCTGGAGGCAGGGTCTCACTATGTAGCTCAGGCTGGCCTTGAACTCAAGGTGATCTTCCTGCCTCCACCTGGAAAGTACTGCGATGACAGGTGTGTACCACCATGCCTGCCACATTGAATAACTTTTTGCATCTTAAATTTTGAATTATGTGAACATATTACCATATCGCAAACCAAAAAATTAAATTATATGTAAATATTTGAAATATTACAGTGAAAGAATGCTGTGAAATACCACTAAAGACAGAATCTGCTTTCAAAATATATTCAAGCTTATTCTTAATAAAAAACATGAAGAAAAATATTATTTCAAGCACCCACGTGACTATTTGCCAAAAAAATCAGATCTATAAAGGCAATGAAAGAAGAAAATAATGTCAAGGAAAAAGTAACCAAGTAAAATAAGATAAATAGAAGTACATGGTAGATAATAAATCTGTTATTAGACACATCAAACAAAAACTATAGCCAATAACAGAGTACCCCAGGCTAAGATCAGGAATAAAATTAAGCTAACTGGCAAGTAGCTTCAGCCTAAAATAAAATTAAAAGTGGGATTGGGAGCTGAGTGCATGCCTGTAATCCCAGCACTTTGAAGCCTGAGGCAGACTGGTATGAGTTCATGGCCAACTTGGGCTACATAGTGAGTTCAAGGCCAGCCTGAAGTACACAGCGAAACCCTGTCTCAAGAAGACAAAAAATAAATAAAGTTTAAAATACTCCAGCCAGAATGCACTCAAAGAATACTGAAAAACATGACTAGTAAGCTGTCAAAAACCAAAAGAATCTTCACAGTACAGTATTTGAAAAAGAAACAATCTTAAGAACAGCAAGAAAAACAATTTATCACACATACACAGGAGCTCACATTAGATTATCAGATTACTGGTCAGAGATCAGACCAGAAGAGATTAGAAGGGATTACAAACCAGAAGGGATTAGAAAAATATATTCAAAGTGCTAAAAGAAAAACGGGCTGGGGATATAGCTCAGCAGCACAGTGCCTACCTGGCAAGCTCAACATTCTGAGTTCAATTCCCAATACAAACAAACAAAAAAGAAAGAAAGGGGCTGGGGATTTAGCTCAGTGACACAGCGTTGTCGTGGCAAGCACAATGTTGTGAGTTTGATTTCTGGTACCAGAAAAAAAAAACAAAACAAAAAAAAAAAAAAAACGGGAAAAAGAAAGAAAAACTGCCAACTATGAATAGTATATTTAGGAAAACTGCCGCAGAGGGAGTTCATCACTGGACTTGCCTTCATGTGTTAAACAGTCTTGCAAGTTGAAACAGAAAGATACTGGACAGCACACACCTGTAATCCCAGCACTTGGGAGGCTGAGTGAGGCAGGAAGATTGCTCTGAGTTGCAGGCTAGCGTGGGCTACATAGTGAGTTCAAGGCCAGCCTGTACTACCTAGCAAGACCCTGTCTCAAAAAGCCCCCCACAAAAAAGATACTGGACAATAACAGAAAGCACTCAAAAATTAAAACGTGTAGTTAAAGTTAAAATACTGAATACTGTAATGGTACATAAAGTACTCCAAACAAAGATTAAAAAATAACTATATCTACAAAACTATGTTAATGAATACATAATACATAAAGTTATGATTTGTCATATCAATAGCAAAGTGGCAGTGAGGAAATATGGAAGAGTAGAATTTTTATATGTAACTGAAGTTAACAACTTGTAAAAGATTGTACCCTAGGCGTGGTAGCACATGCATGTAATCCCAGCTCTCCCAGGAGTGACACCAAGACAGGAAAGCCATGAGTAAAGACAGCAGGCTAGTTACAAAGTCGAAGACCAGACTGAACTACACAGTGAGACCCTGTCTCAACAACAACAAAGGGCAGCTGTGGTGGTACACAGCCATAATCCTGGCATTTGGGAGGCTGAGGTAGGACTGCCATGGGTGAGGCTAGCCTCAACTACATAGAAGTTCTCTCAAAAAAGGGGAGGGGGCCTTCATTACATTGTAATGAACAATGATTTCTTGACTATGATAGCAAAAATGCTAGTAACAATGAAAATTGGTATAGCGAGTTCTCAAAAAACTAAAATTAGAAATTCCATTTGACCCAGTTATTCCTTTTGGTTCTCTTCCTAAGTCATCATATTACAGAGATACACGCACACCCATGTTTATAGCAGCACAATTTGTAATATCTAAATCTTGGAAACAGCCTATATGCCCTTCAACAGATGAATGGATAAAGAAAATGTGGTATTCATATGCAATGTAGTACTACTGTGCTATAAAGAAGGATAACCCTAAAGCACTTTTACATAAATGGATCCACCTCATGACTATAACCTTAAATGAAATCAGACACGCAAGGTTACCTATCATAGTTTCCCTTATACGAGAAACTCAAAGTATAAAATAAAAGATATCAGGAAATAGGGAGCTATTTTTCAAATGGGAAGGGAAACAAGAGATGGAGGGAGGGGCCAGGCATGGTGGCACAAGCCTGTAATCCCAACACTAGGGAGGCTAAGACAGGAAGACTGCTGTGAGTTCAAAGCCAGCCTAGACTATATAGTGAGTTCAAATCAAGGACACAGCAAGACCCTATCTCAAGAAAGAGAGAGACAGAGAAAGAAAGGAAGGGAGGGAAGAGAAAATGAAGGGAAAACGCACTTTTCTGAAAGTTGAAAAGAAAAAATTGGAAATAGAGCTTTTGAAAATCAGAAGGGGAAGAAGACCTGTAGGGAGCAGGAAGGCATGGGAGCAAAACAAAGAAAGTGTTACAAGCCAGGTGTGGTGGCACATGCCTATAATCCCAGCACTGGGGAGGCTGAGACAGAAAGACTGCTGTGAGTTCGACGCAGTCTGACTACATAGTGAGACTGTCTCAAAAAGACAAAAAAAAAAAAAAAGGTTACATACATACATGTACAAATTCTCCAAAATAAATGTAATTGTTATGTATTGCAGAGAAGTACTAATGAAAAAAAAAGAGCAAAAACAAAAAACTAGGCCATCAGTGGTGGTCCATGCCTATAATCCCAGCACTGAGGCAGGCCAAGGCAGAAAGATCGCCATGAGTTTGAGACAAGCTTGAGCTACAATGTGAGACCAAAGCCAGCCTGAACTACTGTATACACTGAAACCCTGTCTCAACCACCCTCACCACCAAAATGTACCCTTAGGTGATGTTAGTCAAGAGTGCGGTTCTTGGAAGGTGTCCCCCAGCACTCAGAAGGCTGAGGCAGGAAGACTGCTGTCAGTTCAAGGCCCAAGGCCAGCTTGGGCCACAGTGAGTTTAAGGCCATCATGAGTGAGTGAGATCTTGTCTCAAAAACAAAATAAAATAAAATGATAGGAAATGGTAGCAAAGTTGTTGGGAGCTGTGGAAACAGCAAAGTATACCACTTGCCCTAACATGTGTGAGGCCCTAGGTTCTATAAAAAAAAAAAAAGTTGTTGAGACACTAAAAGAAATTATTTTTTAAGGCTTCTGGTAAAACTTAGTATCTGAAAATATAAGAAATTCCGATCTCCAAATTTCAGCCCCTTCTGCATAAAGCCCCTTATTCAGTGATGAGCCTTCCCTCCCAGTTTATCTTTCTATTAAAAAAGACCAACTTTAGAAGGACAACATTATTAGCATATTCTCCACCCCCCCCCCCCCCCCTTCTAACATAATCCAAAGTCCTTACCTGGCTCAGGGAGCTCAGCCTGTGGTGTCAAGTTGGGAATTCCTGGCTCTTTTTCCATGTTCTCCATGCTGGTACTGGATTTATCACAAACATTCAACCGTGGCCCAACTGAATCTAGGTGGCTGACATGATTAGGAGTTGTTAGCGAATCCTCTAGTGTATCTGTAGAAGGAGGAGGAGCTCTATGCTCTGAGAAATTATTGTGCCCTTTCTCTATAGGTTCGCCAGGAGGAAAGACCCCAAAGGCGCCCTCAGAGTTTTCCTTCTCCCTAAATCTGTTAGTGCGCTTTCCAGGTTTAGTGCGCCTTTGGTTTACACGCTGCCACCGCTTTTTAGGCACTACTTGACTTATACCAGTACTGGGTTCATCATGCTCACTGTTCATTTCAGAATCCAACATTGGGCCTTTACTGTTCTCAAAAGTGGATCCTTTTTCAGAAATTTTATCAGGGTCAGACTGTTTAATTTTGTTATCAAAATGTACATCAGAAAAGTGAACATCTTCACTTGCTAAATGGTCCATTAATTGCAGAGGTTCTTCTTTAGGAGGATCTGCTGCCCTATTCCTTGATGGGCTATTCACTGAAGCTCCACTCCCTTTGTCTCCCTGTGTTGTACCTGGAAGGGTCAGAGCTGGAAGTCGGTTCAGTTTTCTTTTGCGCTCTGTCTTTAAGGTTTTCTCTGTCTTTAAGGTTTTCCGGTTCACTGTGTTCTTTGCTATTTGGACTGAAAATGCATCTCTCATTTTGGGTGACAATTTTGATCTGCCACAGTTACGCCTAGAAACACAGTTTGATCGACTTTTTCCAGGAGGGAAGTCTCTTCTATTGGACACTAAATCAGGTAGGGAGGCAGACAACTCCCCAGACAGTGCAGAGTCACTCCCATTAGGGCAAGGACGGGCTGAATCCTGAGTGCCATCTCCATTTTTTTCTGCATTGTGTGTAGAGCCTCCTGAAACTAAAACTTTAGATGCCCCTACAGGGCTACTGGTAGAACAGTCTCCACGGGCAGGACTTCGATAAGAGACCAGGTTTTGACCTGTCATCAACCTTTGCTCCTTGGTCTTACTATCATGCATATCTTTTAGCATCATTAGCAGTGTACTGAATTTGTAGTCTGGTTCAATAGGCATATGATTCTGACTAGAAGTGGAAGAAAAAAGTAATGGTTTTGATGGCTTTGGTGTTCCAGAGTCACTGACATCATCACTTAAGGATCTGTAAGAAAGTTCTTTCAATTCTGACAGAACATGTTTTACCACTGCTGTTTCTATGTCACTTGAATCCCTGGTTTTCTCATGCATGTTGTTTAGTAGCTTTAGCCCATCTACTTTCCCACTTTTAGAAATGCTGGCCAAAGCAGAACCTTTAGAATCAGAAGAGCAGCATCTCAAACTGCAGTCCTCATTTATAACTTGTGATTCTACCATAACTGGATTTTCTTTATGTTTGCACTTTATATTTCGGAACTTGGGCTGTTTGTTTTTTGAATGTAATAGACCTTGATGTGTAGCCCCACTTTTCATTAGTGAGTTCTCACTGGAAATGTTTGGTGTGTTGAATTTTGGAGACAGATTATCATTTCTAAAATCTGAATGGGATTTCTGAACAAAAGTAGACACCTTAAGATCAGAGAGATTAACCTGAGATGTTTCAGTTCCAGGCTCTGCTGTCTTACAAGCCAGTAAGTGGTCTGTATGTGAGTTAGCAATGAAGGGCTTCGATTTGGCTTTTACTCTAGTGTTTGTGTCAGGATACCTAGAATACTTCATCTTTTCATTTTTCTGTACAGGTAACACATTCTCTGTTCTATCAAAAGTATCTGTAATTTCAAGGACACTGTTATCAGACTCTGAGCTGTGTTCTATGGGATCCAGATCACTGCTTCCATCATCAGAAGTGGTACAGATACTAATGGAATCACTTCGCTTTTCTTCATCACCAGCTCCAACATAGCAGAGCTGTACTTTCGAATTACACACCAGACCTCGCTTTTTCTCCCCAGAGCGTTTAGAGATCAAGGCACCCTCAGATAATCCTAATAAACCATCACAATTTGAAGTCTCAAATTCTTTCTTTGCAGTGTTTTTTCCACATGAAGCAAAGAGAAAACTGCCTGGGGAAGTGCTGGACCCACTGAGGCTGTTTGCTATCCTAGAAAGTTCATTAGAGGCCTGATTATCAGACACATCCCCAGAGATAAAATTTAGGCTAAGGTTCTCAGGAGTCTTTCCCCTCCATTCCTCTTTATGTGTTTCAAACTGCATAAGGCCCTTTTTCACACTAGTCCTTTTTAGATTATCAGAGCTTTTTCTAGTTCGAGACTTAGCAGGGGGTTTTTCCTTCTCATCTGCAGAATGTTCAGAATCAAAAGCCAGAGATTTCAAGCAGCCATTAAGCAATAGGTCATGTTCTGATTCAGGATCATTTGTACAATCCTCAAATGGCATGTCCTCTTCGCTGTCCAACTTGATTGAACTGGTGACACATTTCCTGTTCCTTGACCCTTTGGGAACATCATACTGTTCAGCAAGACCAACACTGGCTTCCCATTTACTCAAAATTTTCTGAGGCACCTTAAATTTAAATGAGAAAAAGAATAGCACTTATCAAAGAAATGGGAGGAGGAAGAGGGAGATAATCAATAAACACCTTTTAAACCAGAAACTTTTTTAAACATTGTTGGACTTATTCAATGTCCTTTTATGAGACTGGCCAGGTAGTTCACACCTGAGCTTATCCAAAGCTTATACAATAGAGATTTCCCCAAAACACTGCCATTAATAAAATCTATAAGTACAGGAATGATTGGTCTCATAAACCCTCCACCCTCCTTGCACTTACAAGTAAGGAGCAGTACACTATAACTTACCCTAAAACTAGTTATATATTTCTGAATCGAAGAATACTCAGACCTTCCCTACATATTCCTCTAAACTTTAGATGAGAATAAGGATTCTTTTTCCACCAAAGGAAGGACAGAACATGATGGGAGGGGGGGAACAAGAGCAGTTGGATTTAAAAACAAAAAAGAACTTAGTGTAGTAGTGGTGGTGCACACCTGTAATCCCAGCACTCAGGAGGCTGAGGCAAGAGGATTCCCATGAGTTTGAGGCCAGGTGGGCTCCACAGTGAGTTCAAGGCAAGCCTGGACTACAAAGTGAGACACTGTCTCAAAACAATCACCAAATAAACAAACAAACAAACAAAAAAACACAAAAATGGCAAAAAATCCAAAGAAGATAAATAAGAAAAGGTAGGACAGGAGGAATGAGCAAGTTAGATCTGTCTCCTGGACTCTGAAATTCTACATATGACTAGGTTACCTGGCTAAACAAAGGTTTTCTATACATATCACATACAACCTGGATTATAACAAGGTCTTCTATGGGGATGTAATTTTCTTTCTTTTTTTTGAGACAGGATCTCGACATGCAGTTCAGTTTAACTCACTATGTAACCCAGGCTGGCCTGAAACTTACAGTGATCCTCCTGCCCCAGCTGTCATAGTGCTGGGATTACAGGTGTGTACCACCACACCCAGCACAAGAGGACATAATTATGTAGCCCAGAGAAGTGTTTTTGTTTGGTTGCTTTGTGTGGTTGTTTATTTGTTTTTTGTCTTTTTGAGACAGGGTCTCACTGTGCATTTCAGGCCAGCCGTGAGCTCACTTTGTAGCCCAGGCTGGTCTCGAACTCACAACGATCCTCCTGCCTCAGCTCCCAAGTTCTGAGATTACAGGCGTGCACCACCATGCCCTGCTTGGTTGGGTTTTTTTTGTAATGGGAACTGAACTCAAGGCCTTGTGCCTGACAGGCAGGTGCTGTGCAACTGAGCTACATCCCTGGCCCGATACAATAGGTATTGATTAGTACAAGTTGTAACTGATCACAGTTTACAAATATATCAATACATTTGAAAGGGATGTTCTACAAAGCATAGAAAACTTAAGGTCACAAGACACTGTAGCCTCCTCTTGTAAGGCACTAAATTGACCATGTGATTGCTTTCACACACACCACCAGTGCTCATGTTTGTGACCAGATAAATCAGTTTTTTATAAGAGGAAAATGCGAGTAAACTCTTCTGAAAAGAGTTGATAAATCTACACAGCTAAAGGTAACACAAAAACTGTGACACCTCTCCACCATTACCACTCAAAATAGTAGGAAGAATGAAGTTTAATTTCTTCATCTTAACAGCATACACTGTTATTAAATGGGGGCACATTTCTGTAATCCCTATACTCTGGGAAGCTGAAGCAGGAAGATCATAAGTTTGAGCAAACCTGGCCAACTTAACCAGATCCTGACTTAAAACAAAAACAAAACCAAAAACCGCAGTCGTGTAATACATTAAGATTTTATACGTATTTCTAATACTTAAAAAAGTTCTAGAAGGTACATGTTGTTATCTTAGTTTTAAAGACACCAAGTCTCAGAGAACATAAAAAATAAAACGGTTAAAATGATAAATTCTGTCCTGTATGTATTTCAACAACAATAACAATAATAAAAAAATTGGGATGAACAGAGTATTAAAATAGTAAATTAGACACCATGGCACACACTAGTAACCCCAATACTTTGGAAGGCTGAGTTGGGAGGACTGCAAATGCAAGCCCAGCCTGGCAATTTAGCAGCCTTGTCTCAAAATTAAAAAACTAAAAAGGGGGAGACATAGCTCAGGTAGAACACCCCTGGGTTTGAACCCCAGTTCCACAAAAGCAGAAGAAAAATGAAACAAAAGTAAGTAGAACTTTTTTTGAGCCAACTTTAACACAAAACATCAAGTAAAAGAAATAAATATTAACCAGGCATAGTGGTGCATACATGTAATCCTAGTACGTGGGAGACAAGAAGATCGCTTTGAGTTTGAGCCACTCTGGGCTACATAGTGAGTTCCAGGACAGCCTGAACTACATAGCAAGATCCTCTCTCAAAATACATTATCCAGGCACACATCTGTAATCTCAGCACTCTGAGAAGCTAAGTTTATCACAAGTTTAATTGAGGTCCATCTAAGCAACTCAGTGAGACTCTGTCAAAATTTTATTTTATTTTTTTTTTTTGGTTTTTCTCCGGTACCGGGAACCGAACTCATGACCTTGCGCTTGCCAGGCAGGCGCTTTTGCCGCTGAGCTAAATCCCCAGCCCCTCTGTCAAAATTTTAAAAGGTGACTTGAAATAACTGAACATATTTCTGCTTCATGGAAAAGAGTAAATACGATGATGTAATCTAAAATATTAGTAAAGCTCTTTACATGGTAGACCAAAATAAATTTTAGTGAAAAAACACTTGGATACTCAGCCTTGCTTGAATTTTGGTATACTATTGTGAATCAAATAGGCAGGCATATCTTAAGAGATAAATTTCATTACAAATACTTTTTGTACTCATACATCTTTCGTATTACCTTCAAGGTATAACAAATCAGAATTTTGCTGCTCAATGTATATTACATATACCTGTATTTAATGTTTCCATCAAGTTTAAAATTATAAACAAACATGGATGAAACTAAAAAATTAAACTATTAAAAAGCCTACATGGGCCGGGGATATAGCTCAGTGGGACAGCGCCTGCCAGGCAAGCATGAGGTAGTGAGTTTGATTCTTGGTACCAAAAATAAAAATTAAAATTAAAATTAAAAATAAAAAGCCTACATCTCACGATCTTGCTGCTTCAGCCTCTCAAGTAGCGGGATGTTGCCAAGTGTGCACCACATTTGGTAACATTCTCATTAAGAGAAATAATTAGCCCAGAGGATGAGAAGTTGAACATTTAGTTTTAATGATCATTTTCTTCTTGCAGAAAGACTGGCTTTGCCATATCATCCTGTCACTTCTTTGAGAGACAACGCAGAAGTAACTGCAAATATTTCTCAGAAACTTGGGTGTATTTCAAAAGCTAGCCTATCTTCCCCCTATAAAACTGCTTCCAAAGTATTTACTAATAAACATCCTATAAACTCAGAAATATCTTATAAACTTCCAAAAAAAAAAGTTTCTTCCTTGACTGCTTGTACTCAGCAGTACATAATTTTAAAGAGATCTTTTTTGGGTTTTACCTTATGTCTATAACCTTTTTCTTTCTGCTTTCCTCTTTTCCTAAGGACAGGTAATTCTTCAAATTGATGCCTGCCTTCAAACATGACAATTGCTTTTCCAGCCACCCAGGCTCTTTCAGAAGGGTCTCCAAAAGCCTCCACGTAGTACTCACGATAGGGCCTCCGGTTGGCAACTGTAAGGATAAAAACCAGTGTCATTACTTCAAAACCATAAATGCTCATCATCTACAGAACATTGTGACCCCTCATTGCCGAAGAAGACTCTGGTTATAAACAACACACTAAACAACCACAGAACTTAGGACAGTCTAAAAGGGGTCACTCACATACAAGGAAAATTTTAAGTATTCAATTTATATGACAAGAAAATACTTCAGAACTGTTCAATCAATATTTGGAGACATGGTATATAATCAAAACTAGTTATCTGAGCTAGGCATAGAGGCGTACGCCTGTAATCCCAGCACTGAGGAGGCTGAGGCAGGAGGATCATTGCAACTTCCAGACCAGCCTGAGCTACAAAGTGAGCTCAAGGCCAGCCTGAAATGCATAGCAAGACCCTGTCTCAAAAAAGTAAAAAGCACAGGGGGGCAGGCGTAGTGGCACATGCCTGTAATCCCAGCACCTGGGAGGCTGAGACAGGAGGATCACCATGAATTCAAGGCCAGCCTAGGTTGCATGAGCAAGTTCAAGGTCAGCGTGCACTACATGGTCAAACCTGTAGCATAAACAAAGCAACAAATAAACATACTAATTCCAATGACTTCAGAAACAACTCTGGAATTAAGTAATATGATCCTTTTATACGCACAGTACATTCCAATTACTTCACAGAACAAATCTGCAGCCAAATGCTGGCTTTGCAGATTCGAATTTTATACAATTTCAAGAGAAAAATTCAAAATTAAAAAGAAAACTTGAAAGGTAATAAAAAGAGAAAGAAGACGAAGAAAAAGGCCAGGCATGGTGGTGCACGACACTCAGCTGTAATCCCAGCACTTGGGAGGGCTGAGGCAGAAAGATTGCGAGTTCAATCCCAGCCTGGGATACATACTGAGTTCAAGGCTAGCCTGGGACTACATAGAGACTGTGTCTTTAAAAAAAAAAAAAAAAAAAGATTCAATCCCCAATACACCCTCCCCGCAAAAAAATTTACATTCTAAACTGGACTGCATGAAAGCACATGCCTGTAATCCCAGCACTCAGAAAGCTGAGCAAACAATACCTGACTGAGGTGGGCCTGGGCTATACAAAGCTCCAGAATAGCCTAGACTACAGTATAAGAACCTGGGGGAAGAAGGAAAAAGATGACATACTGGTCATACTGGTAAAAGGTTCAAGTATTAAGTTGGGCATACGCAGCTAAAGCTTGAAAAACTCAAGCATTATGGATACGAATTCAGTTTTGATTAACAATTTTCTTTTTGGTCTTTTTTGAGACAAGGTTTTACTATGCAGTTCAGGCTGGCCTTGACCTCACTTTGTAGCCAAGGCTGGCCTGCCTGAAACTCACAGGAATCCTCCTGCATCAGCCTCCCAAGGGCTGGAATTACAGGTGTGCACCACCACACCCAGCAATTTATAATGATTTAAAACACAGATTTAAAACTGACTCTCATGAAAGAGAATTGTGACAGACTGAATGTGTCTAGCAAAACTTCATTATGTTGAAACTCTAATCTCAGTGTGATGGTATTTGCAGGTGGTACATTTAGTGTAGTAAGTTTTAGATTAGTCATAAGGATGGGGCTGCCATGAAAATATTGGCGTCCTTGTAAGAATAAAAGAAAGCCAGGTGTGGTGATGTATACCTGGTTTGGTTTGGGTTTTTCGGTCTTTTTGAGGCAGGGTTTCACTATGCAGTTCAGGCTGGTCTTGAGCTCACTTTGTAGCCCAGGCTGGTCTCAAACTTATAACGATCCTCCTGCCTCAGACTCTTGAATGCTGGCATTACAGGCATGTGCCACCACATCAGGCTTGGTGATGTATACCTGTAATCCCCACATTCAGATCTCAGAGTTCTAGGACAGCCTGGAACATATAATGACTTAAAAGTCAGGCTTTGGGCTGGGGATTTAGCTCAGTGGCATAGTGCCTGCCTGCCTGCCTGGCAAGCATGAGGTCGTGAGTTCGATTCCTGGTATCAAAAAAAAACAAAACAAAACAAAAAATAAATAAAATAAAAGTCAGCCTTAACTACATACCAAGACCTCCAGATAGATGAAGTACATGGACAGATGGAAAGGATGGAGGGATGGATGGAGGGAAAGAAGGAAGAGAGAAAGGGGAAAGGACAAAAGACAACAGAAGTGAAAGGGGATTGAAAAAAGAAAAAGACATAGCTTGGCTGGGCACGGTGGCAGAAGTCTGTAATCCTAGCACTTGCAAAGCTGATGCAGGAAGATCACTGCGAGTTTGAGGTCAGACTGGGCTACAAAGTGAGTTCAAGGCCAGCCTGAATAGCATAATGAGATTCTGTCTCAAAAAGACCAAAGAAAAAAAAACAAAAAAGAACAGAAGAAAAAGGGAGACAGTGTGAGAGAAAAGGAGAGAAGGAAGGAGGAAAAGAAGACAGGAAAGAGAGAAAAAAACAAAAGAAGCTGGAGCATGCTACCACTGACACTTTATGTTCTACCATTTATGAACACAGCAAGCAGGTGGTTAACTACAAGCCAGAGAAGAGAGTCCTTGCTAGGAAACATCAACTGATCTTGAGTTGAGCTTGGTCTTTCAGGCCTCCAGAGCTGTAAGAATCAAACTGTTTAAGCCCCTAGGTCTATGGCACTTTGTTAGGGCTGCCTGAGCTTAACCAAGGTCAAAGATTAAACAAACAAAAAAAAAAAGAATTACCAACAATTATTTAAAAGAAGGGAGAATAGAATCCAGCAAAGGGGAATAAAAATAAACCAAAGAAAATACTGACCATTGGCTGGGCACAATAGCACACACCTGTAATCCCATCACTCTGAAGGCTGAGGCAGAAAGATCCCTACAAGTTCTAGGCCAATCTGGCCTAGTAAATTCAATCTCAG